GCGGTGGGCTTCAATGTTAGCCACTCTGCAATGCCAATGCAGTTATTAGTCTGGGCGGCCGCAATGCCAGCGCAGTGGGTACCATGACGAAGGTCATCAGTCACATTGGTATTGTTCTTAACGAAGTTGAATCCAATAGACCCGTCAGCTGGATTTCTCCAGAATTGATTGACCAGATCAGGATGAGTCGTATCAACCCCCGTGTCAATGACGGCCAGCACAACATCTTTCAACTTCAACTTGGCAGAACGAGCCGCTCGCCAGGCAGCTCCCAGGTGAATGACTTCGAGATAACGCTGACAAGAAGAGCCGGGGTCGTTGGTGCCGAGAACAGGATTGCCACCAGTACAAGTAGCTGAGGCTTGAACCATACTGGGGATAGGATCCAGGATGATCTTCACATCGGGCTCGCAATCAAATTCGATGCCCAGCAACCCTGCGGCTTTTTTCAAGTAGTTGAACTACTGTAGTTCAGAATACTATTGTGATCAACTGAGCATGTCGACTCTACAATCTGGACCCCTATTGCCTTCAAGTCATAGACCATACCATCCTGCGTGAAGCATCGTTCACACTCGAGGTCGTCTTGGCTGAGGAAACGTTTCCCTCCAGCAGATGCGGTCAATGCCTGCGCAACCATATCCGGTAGAAGACGAACATTGAGTGAGTTTCCGCGATGGGATACCCTCAACAGGGTGCGTTGGGAGGCTATCACATATAATAAGACCGTCGATAGTAATGCCGAACGTGCGAGCAACATGATGCTATGAAGGGATATTCCTGAAAATGGCCGTACCCGCGCGATTGCAGATCACAAGGTGCCGGTATTATTCGAGCCTGGCTGGAGGCGACTCGGTCCGGAACGTGATCCGCGTGGTAACAGTAACGATCGCACAACCGCCTACAAACAACTACATCCTGCAAATGTATGCCACTTTAGCAACACTCACAGAATTAACGATTACGATCGTCGTAGCAAGTTGCTACGTGAGAAGGTTAGCGACAATCTCATAGTTGCTACCAGCATGAACCTTAGTATGAGTATTTGGATACAGTAGCGAGATGAAGATGACAATGAGAGGCGCTAAGGACTGGGACGATGAGCAGCTAACAATCAACCCGTGCCCAGTTGCCACGCGACCAGATTCAGCATCGCACGTGTGACAATCACAATGGCCGCATCATGTGTTCGTCCGCTGCATTCGAATTCATGCACGTTGGAGCCCCTGTGATTCCCCGAGACAACCCCGACATACAC